AAAAGCGGACGATCCGAACAATTCGCGGAGCAAGCGGAGACGTGGGCGAGAGACAAATTTTACGTAGCATAAAAACGTCACGCTGGTTCTTTATTATTGCGCGAATACTTCGGGCCGTTTGGCGAAGCTAACGGCGCGCGCTCATCGATTATCGATGGAGGCTTCTGTCAGAAGAAAAGGACAAAGGTAATTCAAATTGCGGCTACGCTCGACGACGAAAGTCGTGATCGACGGGTAAATTTCCATGCTACCTACGAATGTATCAAGCACATACATGCTCGGAACGACCGGAATATCCTTTTCACTGTTTGATGCTGCGAGATTAAATCTTTTTTTTTTCAGTAAATGCTTGCTAACAAACTCTTACCGCAAATTTATTGCATTCAGCATAAGAGATTTTAGCACATGATTAAGTCTCAGATTAATTTTGTGTGAAGGTAGAGTCCGCAATTAAAATAATAAGATAAAATCTTTCATCTTCAACGTTAAGTAATGCTATAACTTGCCACTAAAACAACCCTCAGTCCTCTCTCGGCGCTTCCAGCATTTATATTTAAAAGGACACCCAGTGATTCTGGAACATATACCGTATAATCGCGCACGCGCTGCTCTCCTCGTTCCCTCTCACGACACTCTCCCCTTTGTTCCGGCCAAATCGTTAGGAAGTCGTAAATGTTCGTCCACGAAGTCAAGGTCAGTTCGACCAGCCGATAAGAGTAACGGACATTTTATCTGTCTGGTCGTCATAAATTTTCAGCGAATCCCCAAAACAAACCGTTGCAAAAACGAAATTTTACTATAGAGCAGAAAAGCGCTGTCATCCGAAAATTTACATTATTTCGGGCTCAGGATCAACAGAGCGATCGACTTTTCCCCCTTTTCCTTCCTTCGTATTGGAATTCGATTAATCATCAAATCTCATTATACGAGCTATTAGCCTCGTAACAATGATGCAGTATAAAAGTACAAAAGGCGCACCAACTACGCGATATTATGTGTGCCGACCGGTGAGAGAATTACGCGCGAAAACCTCGTTATAAAATCATTTTCCTTTCGCATTTCTCGCGTAGCTGCACGTAACGCGAGTAGCGCGCAAATCTTCAGTAAGAACGTGGGGAACGCAATTAAATTACCGACAGTTTGATCCCTCAAAAAATAAATAAAACGAAGTGAAATAATGAATAAATAAACAAATGTAGCTTGTTAATAATAATTATTATAATTAATAATAAATTATACATATTTATAAGCATAAATTTATATAAAAATAAATATATATTAATAATTTAGTAAGAATAATTAAAAAAGATTCGTCTCTGTAAAGAGTGAATACTTCCAGTCTTAAATTTATAATCGGATCTGTAACATATATTTTACATAAAATTTTCCATTGTATAACGTTATTCACAAATGACTTACACCGCTTTTTATTTTTCTTTGATAAAAATAAAGTCTTGCTTCTAATACTATAAGAAAATTGGAAATTCGTAACATTTCAAAATTAATATTCATCAATCCTTCTTGTTTCATTTATTTTTCACAGAGAAGTCACATATTTTGTCGAATTCTTTTCTCCACGGCGAAAAGAAAGCGACAGCCGAGCGGACGAAAGGGAACGACGGAGGGTTAGACACGTGACGCAAAGCACAGCATGGGGAAAAACGCGATGACTTGATTAATTCATGTTGTCTAGAAAAAGTCAGCGGGCCTCTAAAAATGACGTGAGGTTGGAAACCGATCACGCTAATACAAAGAAAGCTGAAAGAAACGAAGAATTTTCTCTGTCGGGGGACAACCCGTGGCGAAAGATGAACTCCCGGATAATTGCGAGTACCGGCTTGAAAATCGAACGCCCCGTGTCGCCTTGTAAATTGGGTTAAGCGCTTCAATTTTAATTTCGGCTCTCTCGAGCGAGTGATTGAGAAGACGAGGCCAAAGGTAGGCGAAATCTTCTCGCAATTTTATTATGCAGTTCGTCATTTTCATTAAGATAGACATAAATTTAATTTTCCATTTTTCCTGTAAGGAAAATGCTAATTATTAAGATTGAATTATTAACTGGAATATATAATACCGCGAAATCATTGCAGTCGAAGGTTAGTTTACGAGAAAGAGGACAAAAAATTATAACAAAAACACTCGAAATCCTGAAGAACTTCTGTTTTATAAATTACTCTCATCAATTCTCTGGAAGTCACGACATATTGCGAAAATTCGCGATAATTCTGCGCAACATCGAAACAAAAGCGATATTTAACGTTAATCCACCTCTCACAACTGTCTCGGTCCGTTTATCACGGAAGATTCAAAGTCGGGAGACACGAGGCGCGTCCAATGATTGCTTCGTTAAACGCGTGAAGGCAGATGCGCGAATTTTCGAGGCGACGTATTTATACGCGCCTTCGGCGTCAGGGTCCCGGGATTGGATCGCGACGACGAAGAGGCTTATTACGAGACGAGGCGATTACGCAAGCGGGCGCAGCTCGTCGCGACGGCGAGAGAAACGAAGAGAGAGAGAGATCCGAATGGAAATGAGCGGGGCCTAAATAGCGAGCGTTCCATCACGCTATTAATTACGTATCGAGTTACGTCAGTTTCCCGAGGCGTTGTCGACCGCTCGTGCAAATGACGGATTTGGAGTGTAACGAGCGGCGGGATGAATTTCAGAAAATTTATCGCTCTAAATGGTCACAAATTGTAGTAAATTTGAATATACCTGCTTGCAATTAAAAATCTTAATTCTCTAATGCATCGTCTTTGCAAAGAATCAAAAAATCTTCAATCATAATTGTTGATTTGATTAAATTTAGAATTATAAACTACATAATTTCAGATATTTCAGGCAAAAGGTTCATGGACATCAAAGATAAGGTACGATACGCTGGAACGATTCTTCCGCGAATGCGATCGACTCAATATTTTCTAAATAATTAATTCGCAATTTCGAGAATATCAAGGTGAATATCATCGTGAATAGCGATATATAAGTCGATCGTGTTTACGGAAGGTTCTCCCACGGGAGCGCGTTGGAGAATCGCGGGGAACCGCGAAAGAGGGAAATGAGGAAAACGCTTTTTCACGCACACAATTTAATCCAGTGCGGCGAGGAGACGAGTGAGATTAAACGGATCAATGCGGAAGAGAGACGTTTTCGAAGTGGGACGATGGCGATCTACTGTAGAGCGACAACACGAAATCCGCATTCATACCAAACCGTATTTTTTTTTGTCCCGCGATCGTTCTATAATTGATCAGCATCGTACAATCGCGTGACAGCACGTAACGAGACCTTCGCTGCACTTTTCTCTCCTATTTTTTTCAATGAAATGCTAAAGACGACGGACTCAAATCATAAACAGAAAGTTACCAAAGGATTAGTTGCTTGCAATAATGACATAGATAAGATAAAATATATATTTATTGTTTAATTCATGGTCTTCTGATTTATAATTAAGTCGCAGAGATTAATATTTCGATTTAAAGCTTCTTTTCTCAGTTTCGTTATAAATGTATTTCGAGTTTGCGTCATCATTCTCAGTGCCTCAATTTAAGAAACGCTTTAACATCTCTACGAGCCGCGATGACCGGAGATATGGAGACACAATAAATCAACAAAGAGACAAAGTAATAAAGGCGCCGCAGGCGGCGCGCGTGCCGGATGCAATTTATAACGACGGGCGAACCTCAACGAGAACGTTTCGATAACTGGCGAATATTTGCATAGACACGCGCGTTATTTGTGCGTGTGTATTTGTGTGCGTGCGTGCGTGCGACGATTGCGTAACGACCGATCGCTGGACCGAGGAATAAACTACGTATATAAATAGGACGACACTTGTACATCTGTGTGATACGAAGAACACTGAATTAAAAGTAATAATGCGGGAGTAATGTACAACGGGGAGGGGAATCCGCAGGTACACGTGTGTTGTCCCTGTGTGCCTACCTTCATGTTCCTTTTGTAATAATTGCCGAGCGTGACAATGTGTACGCGTATATCCTCTGGGCGTTACAAGACGATTGAGCACTGAATTGCACCGACAACCCATTCGGACTATATAGAGGATAATCTATCGATTTGTTTTTTTTTTCGGATCTTAGCTATAATATAGAAAAGAGGAAAGAAGAAGAAAATGATCGCGACGGTTTCATAACAATTTTAGTTCAATCTAACTGTAGTTTAAGTTATTGCTTGGCGCATACTCTCGTCACATACTTAGCGCTAAGCACACCTCTATAGAATTCTCATCTCACATCGAATACCATTCACATATTAAACAAATAACATTCAGAAAATGAAGTGCCGCATTTACTATTAGACGCGTGACGAGAATACGGACTTTTCTGTCTAAGAAGACACAAGGAATCGGTTAAACTAGAGTTAAACTTAACAGATTGGTCGAAACCGGGCCGGAGTCGTCGGTGCAACGTCGGCGCCAAGCGGAGAAACGCGAAGATATTCAGGGGAAAATAGCTTTAAAGGAGCCACACTGCGGTGAACACGATGATATATGTACTATTCTGTTATCTACCGCTAATATTTACAGAAAACGCTTGCGCCCGCACACACGCGAGTCGCTTACGTCAATTAAAGCTTCCCTTTACAGGTGCAACAAACCCCCTTGCCATCAGGGCCAATTGGAAAACCGGAGACGAGCGTCGGTCAATTAAATTAGAGTTGTTGAAATACCTCGCGACAACCGATTTCATCGGGAAACTACGTTGTTTATAATAAGTACTCGTTTAAACGCAAGAAATTTTATGCGCATCGCAAACGTATACGAAAGAATATAAGAAATTGTTGTGCAAGTATGTTTTTGCTGTGCTGCATTTTTTTCTACAAGATTACCGTGAAACAGGTAATTTTACCTCCCGGCAATTATTTGTGCACGGAGTACACAGTATCGCGTTGTCCAAGAATATAATTTCACTTTTTATATATAATAATAATCTAAATATATATATATATATATAATACGAACAAACAATATATGAAATATATATATATATATATATATATATATAATATAAAAATTGCACATATTTCCCAGTAAAAACATAGAATTATATAGTTGCAGTTCAATGAAAAATATTCTCTTCAGATCTCAACCGACAACTGTGTACTCCATACGTCGTGCGATGAACGGAAGGCCAAGTTCGATCGCGATAAGATTATTTCCCTACGTGAGAAATGGACACCCTTTTTATCATGTTATAATGTACACTCCTGATGTGCCTATGCTGTTATTGACACAGCCTTTAATATCGCAAGTTACCGATCAATATTGTATTATCTGCTGGAAACAAATGGTCAAAATATCTTGCTGAAAAGAAGCCACAAAAATCCTTATTAAATGTATAAGCGATGCTAATAATTATCCTCGTATCCTTTCATTGTAATACCGATAATAAAACGTTAACACGATCATAATCGTGATCATTCGATGAAAATGATTGCTCGCTTGGCGAACTAAAATATGGATAAACGTAACCCTTCTGAAAAGCTATTTCCATTTACATGGAGATTAGAATATCTCATTAATCAAAACTTTGCGATCCTCGTCGTGACTAAAGTACCAACAAATTCCGATGATAAAAAATTTCAGAGAAATATTATTATTCGAACCACCGAGAAGAAAATATCGATACCGATAATCAAATTTTTCCGAGAAACTTTAAAGCATGACACATAGAGGAAAGATGATATTCGATTATTTCATACGATCGATGCATCGGCAAGACCACGACGTAAATTTCCATGCAAATACATGCTATCGCGATGCGATTCTACGCAGAGAATATTCTACAATCGATATCCCTCATGTTTTTCTTCTCTAACAACATTGATATCGCCTCTTGTAAAATCTTGTAAAGGATAATTAAACAAGTTATGACGTGAGATACCAATGAATTTTTTCATTATATAAAAATTATTTATGTAAAAAAGGTCTTCTCGTGCAATTTGTATGCAATGTCCACTCACGGATCCGCGTTTACGCGTTCCCTGGTCGTACAAGCTTAAGCAGGTCACGATTTTTACGACAAAGTTAGGTCTACTCTCCAGATATGCGGTCTAAGTTTCAACCAAGTTATTCGCGATGGAGTTTGCGTGACATTATTAAAGGGTATCTCGACGTCATCTCTCGTTTACACATTTTATCAAATTTTAAAGACAGAAAATTACGCGTCCTGGATGTTAGTCATGTTTGCTCATGAATAAGTCTAATTTGGAATATCAATATTGGACTTGAACGAATTGTCGGACAGAGATCGAAAACCGTTAGCAAAAGCTCGTCATGATAACGCGCCGCACGTGCGTGTAATTACTTCAATTAAATAAAGGAACGACAACGCCGAGGGCAAATATAAATTACAGCAGCGCAACGCTAGAAATACATATTGATCGGTTTTGCGATTTGCAAAAAAAAACGCAATTCTCGCTAGATGTCGAAGCGAGATAAGTGTCGTAACACTCACATAAGAGTAACGTAGGTACGAGTTAACGGTGTCTACTGCTACTCTATGCGGATAAAGACAAGTCGACACGTTGATGTCTGTCGCGGATTGAGGAGCGCGATAGTGAACTATCTGAAGGTGCTCAAGATCATTATTGACGGTGCGATTGATATCTCGAAAATACAAGCACTCTCGATAATCATTGGAGGATAATCGCGGCTCGTTCAAAGTGTTAAAGAAACAGAAAATGTTTGATTTAACGAATCGGACTAACTAAACACTCTCCGGTTCGGGTTCTTTCAGATTCTCCCTAAAGAACTGTCACGCGTTCCCATTTAGGACATTTGTCTTAAATTGAAAAATAAATGTAGCGTAAAATAAACGAACTATTCTGATTTGGCGCTATTCGGATATTAAATTCGTCCGCCAGAAATAGAATTGCCAAGAAATCTGATAATACTTTTATAATTTACACAAATTAATCAATTTGTAATAGATATATTGGAGTCAAATCATCTAGTTAAAGTATAAGTAAATATACTGCAGTTGACGTCTGACACAAATAAAAATTTAAACGTTAAAAATGCAAAAAATCTAAAGTTTCATATGTTAATAACATTGTCGCGAATTTACGTAATTAGAAAAAGCAATGAATTTTCGTATAATATCGTATGCAAGTGAAGAAATTGAGAATAACATAGACTCCGTCTATAAAAAAAAACAAAAAAATAAAGTACAAATTATTTTAAAAATCTCTCATTGAATAAAAAACAATTTATATTCACTCGTTACATACATCATTGTCATTTATCAATTGGTTATAAAAATAGAGTTAAAAGAGTTATCTTGTAGAATGATTCTATTAACGTAATTTTATCAAAAGTGACTTTAGCTATATTATTCTCAACGCTTCAATTATCTCTGGACACACATGCGCGAATAAAACGTGTGCGCTCGCAAGCTTGCGAGTACAATACCGCACCCACCAAGATCTCGTTATCCCAAAATCTCGTGACGAAGCCGCGCCAAGTACTTCATTTATTTTGCTGCGAGTCGCACCACTGCGCCATTCCCTCTCTCGTTCTAATTCCTTCATAACATCGCGGCGTGTGCAAACGAACGGCATGTGCATTCGCGTATAGAAGTAGAGAAGTAAATATATACACGCGAATGATATAAGTAGGGAGGTAGTCTCCCTCTTCGATCTACCGTCACTCACGAAATTACACTCGGATTACATTTTCCGCGTTTCGTATCGTTATTAACTGTAGACGCTGGCTCGCGACGAATTTTTCATCGATCAGCTGATTGCTCGCGATACAACTAATAATTTCCTGACGAAAATTCCGTCGATTCTCATTTAACGCGCGAAAAGATATCAATGACATCAATCGCGGTCGTCACTAAATGCAACTGCAGGTTTTCAAAGCTGCGATTATATAATTGAATAATTTATTCCAGCGCGATTCACGCTCCATTTTTTCTTATGTAACGCAAAAATCGCGACACGCTGCGTCAGTCGTCTACTAGAACCGTTCGATTAAACGACAATGACGCTTAAACGTTTGATTGCGCTCTGAAAACTTACATTGGCATATAGGGGCGATAGAACGGAGCTCGATTCATCGCGAATACTAAAAGGATATAAAAGTTTCGTAACGTCGTCGCACTTACGTGCCGCATTTCCTCCGCATTGTCCGCGCGCGTGTTAGCCCATCGCCGCTGAATCGATCCCCGGCCAGCCACGTCGCGCTGGCGTGTGCCCAATCCAATTCTGAACAACCGTTTTACTCATTAACGAAACTTCGTCCACCGACGTTGACGTCAACGCGCGAAAGTGTTTTGCGTCGTCTCGAAAGCCGACATCGGCACCGATCTTCCGCAGAGAGAGATGGTAAATCGCGCGTAGCTAACGCAATCTTCGATCGTGCGTAATCGCGGCCATCATTAGCTTCCAATCGAGTAATCTTTACGTACCGGCGACGCGCCTCATTTGACGCCTGCGGTGTTTATTAATTCGCCTTCGGTTTAGTGCTTTTTTACCATGTCCTACATCTTCCGCGCGCCGCGTTCTTCCGTCGATATTACGTGCTTGTTATTCACTGGTCAGGGTTACACTCGTTTTCCTTTCGCTTTATGCGAATAGTTAACCGGTCTTTAAGTTCAAAGATGATAATACGAAGACGGTTCAAGTAACGATGATGTATGTCGACGCTATTACGCTCGTGCACGCGTTTCGAAGCCGCGTTTAGGAGAAAAGCCGTTAGCCACCTAAATTATTCACAACTTTATCGCTCATTCCTAATATTGGTGTTGTAATAGTTTATCCTTTCGCGTGTCAACGATAACTTTAATGTGGTAACCATTATTGAGCCCCCTTTTTCCTCGTATACGATTCGAGATGGCGGGTATCTCTGTGTGTTTATCTTACGTGAAAAATTAGACATTTTCCAGGATAACGCAGATAATAAGAAATACAGCGGAATCGTGTTTGCGCGAGGAATTAAAACCGCTCTACGTAATAAGCTGATCGCGTGCGGATGTAATGTCCAGACGATGACATGTCCGATCTATTTGCATATACTTATATATAAAGGATACCGTTTCTCACGAGAATTTTACGCGCGGGTGTAAAGAGGCCACCGTCTCCTCCAATTGGCCCGTCATCGGCGATCGATGGAAAACATGTTTCATATATAAATATTATTTCAGATTATCATGTGTACGTGTAACGCTTGTGTGTATGTATGTTTTGTGTGTGTGTATAACGACTAGCTATATAAATACGGATCGTACTCGCGGCGAGTACGCAGATCGTACTCTTCTTTCTCTCTCTTGCTCTCCCTCTCACTCTCTTTCTCTCGCACTCTTTCTTTCTCTCTTTCTTTCTCTCTCTTTCTCTCTCTCTCTCTCTCTCTCACGACGAATAAAGAGGATAGAGACAAATAGTAGACAACGAACGATGCACGATATGACTCGCCTCGGTGTAGTAAGACATCTCCTTCTCGATTCGAGTGTCAAGTGTGCGATGCGTGGGAAAGGAGAAAAGGGGGAGGGGGGAGGTATATCGAAGAATTGAAGGAGATGCCGAGGAAAACGATACGCTGATGAAGGAGAATTGTGGAAAGTAGGAACGGAGGGAACATTCGCAAAGACAACGAGAGACTATATGTATAAGGTAACTTCGGTACGGTGACATTTCCGACGCAGATAACAGTTAATCATTGGGAACAAACTTTACACACGGCCTTCTCCGTAAACCGGATCATAAAGCTATCTCGAATGGATGGCGGGGGAGAACGGGGAGGATATGAGGAGTGGCGAAGGGACACACACATATATATGTATATATGTATATATATATATATATATAGTATACAGCCGTTCTTATTACGTTAATGAATCGATTACCGGCTAAAAAAAGAGATTTCTCCATGTAAAAAGTGATGCTGGCGTCTACTACATACGTAACAACCAAAAGTTATATGTATATATAATTCTTGGACGCTCAACGCCGGTGTGTAAACGTTCCTTATCAACCGTATCGCGTTTCTTCCCTACCTCTCTCGTGTGTAGCGAGTTCAGTTGCGAGATGCAAAACGCGCGAATTGCCACGTGCCGTTTCGTGTATCCTCCTCTTTTCTCTCTTTTTACAAATCTCCCATCGGGACACTTTCCATCCCAGTCCCCTCGCCAGAAATTTCGCCCCAAAAACTTTCCGCTCTGTTTCGTTACACGCGGTTGCGCGCCGGCACACACATACACCGTTCCTTCTTTCGCTCCTTCTCTCTCGCTCGCTCTCTTTCTCGCTTTCTTACTCTCTCTCTCTCTTTCTCTCTCTCTCACTCTCTCTCCCAAAAGAAGCAAACCACTAATGTGACGACGATGGCGACGGTAACGAAGGAGCGCCGCGACACGTCGACCCGACGGTGAGGCGCGACCACGATGACACGTACACGACGTGCGTATACACCTCCTGGTGCGAGCAACTTGCCGAGCAGATGTCGCGTTCAAAACTCGGCGAACTCCTTGGCGCACTTCTCCGTCAGAGAAATCCTCAGGGTCTCCTCCTCGTAATCGTCAAAGTTGCTGGTATCGCCTGGTCCCTTGCAGCGCGGTATGAAAGGCGCCTCTATTCGCTTCTGGAAGACGGCTATCCAGTCGGTGCTGGCAAACCACTTGTGGCCCTTGATGTCGTTCACGCCCGCTTTAAGATTGCCATACCTTTTGGTAAGATCTACCTGCAGCAAATTGCGCAGCAAGTCCTTCAGATCGGAGCCAAAGTGCGAGGGAAAGCGCGGTTTGCCGCTTACGATCTTCTCGTAAATCTGAATCGGTTGATCGGCGAAAAACGGCGGATAGCCAGCGGCCATCTCGTAGACTAGTACGCCCAGAGCCCACCAATCCACCGCTTTGTTGTATCCCTTGCTGAGGATAATCTCGGGTGCCAGGTACTCCGGGGTGCCGCACAAAGTCCACGTTCGACCTTGTACTCTTTTGGCGAAACCAAAGTCGGTAACTTTCAGGTAACCCTGCGAGTCGATCAAAAGATTCTCCGGCTTCAGATCTCGGTAGATGAGATCGAGGTAGTGCAAGTACTCGAAGGCAAGTACAATCTGGGCTGCGTAGAAGCGTGAGTGCGGTTCTGAGAAGCGGCCGACTTTGCGCAGGTGGCTGAACATCTCGCCGCCGGGTACGTACTCAAGTACCATGTACAGGTAAGAGTTGTCCTTGAAGTGGAAGCGCAACGACACAAGGAACGGGAAACTAATCGCCTGCAGTATCCTCTTCTCGTTAAGCGTGTGCTCCACCTGTTTCAGCTTGACGACCTTCTGTTTGTCGAGTATCTTCATGGCGTAATACTCCTTGGTGGGCTTATGCTGGACGATCATCACGCGGCCGAACGAGCCGGTGCCCAAGGTCTTGATACGCTCGAAATCGTCCAGACCGGCGGTGTTGGTCGGATTCTTCTTCCATTTATCCTCGAACTCCTTCTTCGCTTTGTCGAGAAACTCCTTGACGCTCTCGGCGGCGTCGACCTTCTTGTTAGCGGTCGCGGCATTGTTGCCCATTTTAGCTGCCGCGCTGGTGCCCGAGCCTGCCAGGGCAGCTCCACGGGGCTCGAAGTAATCCAGAGGACTGCTGCGTCTTCGTCGGCGTACGTCCGCGTCCGCAGCCGCCGCCGAGCCTGCCAGGGCTCCGCCAAACTCCGGTCTTCTCAGAATTTTTGCCGCCTTCTATCGCGCGCTGCCGATGGCCAAACGTCTCTCCGTCGGATCTTACGCAAATTATAAAGCTCCGACGACGACGGTAATGACAGCTTAAAGTCCTCCGCGCCGTGTTATCACGTTATTGTCCCAGTTCCCGAGCCGTTTTCTTTAGGAAAATCCTCGCGAGGACGTGACGACGGCCTCGCGACACACCGCGAAAAGAAAAAACCGATCGTACACGAAGAAGAGATAGAGATGGGGCACGCACACTTGCGCGAGTATCACACGGTACAAAAACGGGCCACACACATACACACACGCAGGGGGGAGAGGCGCGCGCGCGAGCGCGACACGAGAGGGCACCCTCCCGGCGCAACTCCGGAGTCCGCTCTCTCTCTCCTACGGCTTCCTTCCCTGCTGCCGCCGAGTGTATTCCTCCCGACGGCGATCGTCACCACACTCCGCAAACGGCGCTCACCCGCGATAAGCGAGAGCGAGAGAGAGCCAGAGGGGGGGAGGGATGAGGGAGAGATTCCTCCTCCACCGTCGTCCTTGGAGACTCCCGACTCCCGGAGATTTGGCGCGTCGGAAAAAAATGGGTCAGCAGCGATCCTCGTCCACGGCTCGCGCCATCTTCCTTGTCAATTGTACCAGTCCGTCGTCGTTGTCGTCCGGCGGCGGCGGCGGCGGCGGCGGCGGTGCCGTTTCTCTCTCTTTCTCCCGCACGACCGTCTGTCCTTCCCGTCTTCAACGTCTATCCGACCTGCTTCGCTTCGAGCACTGTAATTAGTGCCTCACTTATTTGCCCCGTGATTGGGCAGGCAAAATCACACAGTACTGAATCCTGCTGATTGTTGTACGTCCAGCAAAATCCACTTCCACACGCGAATCGAAAGAATGCGGGGAAATGCACACCGATTGTCGCGACAGCAATAGAATTCTAGCGACGGCAATGTTCCGACGGCAACGTTCCGACGGATCGTTCACATTCGTTTGTTCCTTCTCGCAGTAATCCTCGTCCCTGCGGTTGTATTCCTCCTCGTGACGTCTGCGAACGAAAGCGAGACAGAGGACAGAGAGAGACGTCTCGTCGGGCGAGGAAGCTACTCGCGGCGCGCACCTCGCTTCCTCGCGCCCCGGCACGAATTATAATCGAGCGATGGCCCGCACAGTCGATATCGAATTTGCAGTCACGATATTGCTTCGCGTTCTCGACGTCGCGTTGCACCACGGAGGCGCACGGCGTTAACACCGCTGCACGGCGCTTCAGGTATGATTGTCGTCGGCTCTCGCACGCGTCGTCGACGACGAACGACGACGACGGCGATGACGTCGGCGGAGACGGCGGTTGATGGGTACAACCGTGCCTAAAGATGGCGACGCGATTCCTCCTCCGCTCGTTCGTTCGGGAGTTTTTCGCACGAGTGCGAAAGTGACGAAGTGCCACTCCAGGAGGCGAGAGAGCTACTGTGCGTCGCGGGTCAGCTGTTGCTTCCTGGTATCGCCGAGAGATGTAGCATCGTACGGACAACGAGTCGAGTCGGTGGGTGCTGCCGCTTCGATGACGCCCGGAACTAAGGTGCGGCCAAGGGAACGCGAGCTTCACCGAAGCATCTCTTCGACAATATCCGTACGACGTCACGCGACACGCGCGTATAGAACCGGAACGTCTGACTCCAACTGAGGACTCGTTTAGATAGGAAAATTTTTCACGCTATGTTGCTATTTTGGAGCTGTTTCTTTCGTGTTGATATTTACATCACGATATTTTGAATACCGATATAATTAAAATTCTTCTATCGAAGAATAAATATGAAGTATATATATATTATATATATATACATACAGATATTTAAATACAAAATATTAATAAAACATGCATTATTAAATATTTAATGATCATCAAAAAATCTCTATTCGTCTTAATAACACAAATTTTTTAAATAATATAAAACTTAATACTAGCTGATATTTGCTACTTTTCTCGGATGCTGATAACGCATTTTATCAGAGAATATTATTCCTAAACTAAACTATTATCTATACTTTTTTCGGAAGTATGCGTCGCTCGAGTTTAGGCCCTGACCTCATTTCTACGTTTCACTATTTCTAAGTTTCTCCTTTCTTTAGAAGCGTTCTTGAGACTGTTTCATGAGACCTAGGTCCCGGAGGTAGCTCGAACCGGCCCTGATCAGGCGGTGAGGTTCGAGAAGACGATTGTGTCATGTTCCTCGACACCGAGGACGGCACCTCTCTGAGTCAGCCGACCGAAAAACTTATATCGTACCGTCGTCAAGGTTGCTATTGAAATTTGGAAGCGCTGAGGTCACACGGCCGTGTTTTTATCTTTCTTCGCGGATAACGTTGTACCGGATTCTCGCGTTGTCGACTTATTACTTGGAAAAACGCGCGGAGCCGAAAGCACAGACATATACGTAACCGTAGGGATTATCGTGCGCAATCTAATGCCGCACCTGATATGTCATGATAAGAAATCTCCTTCTCTCTCGCGCGAATATCGCGGGAGCGAAATCTTTCTCGTCGTTACGTACCAGGTTGTTCTTTTCTCTATCGCGATACTCTATTACATACTCGGTTATTTGCACTCGACTATAAACTCGACAATTTATGATTTGCTAACAACGATTTGATTGGACTAATGTTGTCATTGCTAAACATTAAAAGCTGTTAAATTTTACTCTAAAGTACATAAGCAAACATGAAAATAATATGATGATTTATGCTGAAATATTTCATATAAAAGTTCTTTATATTGCATATATATCTTGTTATGTGAATTATATATCTAATCACTGTAATTTATTTTCTTTTCAACGATATTTCCATCTTTATTTCATATTACAACTCTCAATCACTTCTTCTCTCTTCTCTTTAATTTAATTTCTTAACCAAAAGATATTTCCTTTACCAAATAATATATACTGAAATTATTCTCTCTGTGCAGATTGAAAAATAAAACAGTCTGCTCTCTATCATAATAGTATTTCTTATCGCAGGATTATCAAATTGGTCGAGAGGTCGAATAAGTCATCCGTACGAACAAAATTAAATAAGCGTTAAAGCTCGACTTTAACGGGTTCAACTTTATGTGCAATATTTTCGAGTGCAATATATATTGCTGCTTTAAAAATTTATTGCATAAAGTACAGTGAAACAGATTGACCATTATACAAGCGAAATTGGTCGTTTTAATGTAATCCACGTGCGAAGTTATTAGATGTAGAGCTTCGAGTATTCATGAATAAAAGTTTTTCTCTCATTATATGGTATTCTTTCTTGGTAATGTCAACCTTTTAAAATTTTTGTATACCTCGCTCGACCTTTTCAACTGCAATAATACATGAAAATACATGTTAAAAGCAGCGTCGAATAAATCAGTCCGCTCTACGTGCGAACCCTACAAATGTTGTGTCGCCGGCGCGGTACAGAATACTGCGGTCAGAGAATAACAGACGGGACTTGTTGCTGTCAGTCACGTCAACGGGGAAACCGGTTCGAAAGCTCGGAAAGGCTCGACGTTCGAGTCGAATAAATGTCGAGGAGTCGTGCGATGATCATCGTAATCGACGAGCGTCGTGACGGCGAGGGTTTCGGCGGCGGGAGCGGTGGTGGCGGCGGCGGCGACGACGATGATAGGCGACATCGTCGTTGTCGGCGTCGAACGACAACGGCGCATTGGGGCTATTAATAATGATCGGCCGGGTATCGCGGTATCGAACCGTGGTAGGTAGGTGTACGGAAGGTTGAACACCCGCTGACCTGTGATAATCCTTTGCCGATTAGTTTCCAACTGTAGACAGAGGCGGCGCGATTTTAGAACGGTCGACCGACGAGAAAGCGCCTGGCAGAGAAAGAAAGAGAGAGAGAGAGAGAGAGAGAGAGAGAGAGAGAGAGAGAGAGAGACGAGAGAGAGAGAGAGAGAGAGA